TTTACCGTCCCGCCTTTCCCCCCCCCCCCCCCCCCCCCAAGCTGTGGATTTATTACCGTTTGTGTAATCACTGAATGTGGGATTGTTTCCTGATATTACATGGAGGGATTTGGTACCAGGTTAGGGGCCAGTCGTTCTTATTGGAGTTCCTCTTTAACTGGTTTAATGCTGGTTCACTGTGGCAGTGACATGACCCCTTTATACTCCATAAATGTGATTCATTCTTATTGCCTGAAGAATATCGCAGGAGAATGAATTGCTGTGCAGTAAGTTCAGTGGTGGATGGAAATGACGCACATTGTCAGATGTATAAAAAGCGGTAAAATTCTTGTGCAGAACCTGGACCAAAACCAGTTTGTGCAGAACGGACATCACTGGTAATAGCATTCCAGGGCTGGAGGACACGGGAGAGGTTCCTGTTTGGATTACAGATACACATTAGGAATTTTCTCTATTTTATGCTTTCTAACCTCAAAGTAAATTGTGTTGCTTCTGAAAAGCTTGTGCTTACATTGGCCACAAACCAGCCACGTCTTCCATGTAATAGAGTGAACACCTGCAGACGGGACACAGTGCGGTTATTGTCCGAATCCTTTTCCGTTACAGCTCTGCTCAGAACGAAGCATGGCTGCCTTTTATTATACGCTGCCTGCCACAGCAGCCAGCTCATCACTAGAACAATCTTGTTGTTCCTCTGATGTTTGGTGATTGGTTCCTGGTCCATCCTGAACCCATGTAAATTTACAGCATCAAAAACTCCCATCTAGCATAGTCTCTGTTGCAATAGAGAAGTGCAGCTGAAGGTAAGTACTGGGCTTTATTTCTTGCAAGTGCAGATATCGGGTATGTATCTAGAGGAGGGCTAGTGGAACAATCATACACATGGGTTCTATGTGTGCCGACATTATCATTACTACAGGTATTTATATAGCACTGACCATTGATGTAGCATTTTACATACTGAACATTAACATCAGCCCTGTCCTCAAAGTCTGAGGTTCCCATCTCACATACTTACTAGGGTCAATTTAATCAGGAGCCAATTAGCCTACCGGTATGTCTTTGGGGTGTGGGAGATTACCCACGCATACTCCATGTAGATAGTGTCTTGGAAGAGATTTGAACCAAAGACCCCAGAGCAGTAGGCAGATGTACTAACTACTCAGCCACTGTCTGTGAAGGTTCTCATTTATCCAGGTGATGTGTGAAGGTTCTCATTGATCCAGGTCATGATATATCTGTAAAAATAAATTAAAAGCAACTGGACTTGCTGTATTTTCTTGAAGACGTTTCACTGAGAAAGCTGGTTGGATGACTAGTGAAATGTCTTCAAGAAAATACAGCAAGTCCAGTTGCCTTGACTTTATTTATACAGATCTACTAAGCCACTGTGATACCCTTTATTTTGGATGCTAACTGATGCTTCATCTGCCAACTTCACCAGGTCCACTAAACCATAACTCGCAAAACCAACGTTGGCCTGAGCCTATAGAAAGCACAAGCTGGTAAAGTTACCTAAGGACCGGGGTTCACGGCTCATGATATAATTATGATAAACTTTATTGGCTAGCAGGTGTGAAGATCAGGTAAGAATGATCACGCATTATGGTGCAGGTTGGGAGAAATTGAGACAAATCTTGAAAACGCACTGGCATGTGCTACAGTTGTGCCCAATGCTAATGGATATAGTGGGTCCCTATCCCCTTGTTAGTAGCACGGAGAGCTCGCAATCTAAGGGATCACATGGTCTGCTCTGAATAAGTGGACCGGAAAACTGGTTATCTGTTACAAAGAGAATTAAAGGAGAACTATGGGTATGTGTTCGCTCACCTCCCGATCTCCTGAGCCGACCTGTGACCGTCTCATTGTCACAGGTCGGCTAGAACAATGAGGTGAGTGAAAAGCACTCACCTCATAGTTCTCCTTTAAGGGAATGTACCCTAGTGGGAAATGTCAAATTTGCCCATTTGTGCAGAAAACAAAATCTTCATAATACAGAGGGCACAAAAACATATAAGATCACTCAATTCATCACTTGTGGTACAAGCAGAGTTGTGTATTGACCATACACCTATAGATTATCTGCAGATTTTCTGTGGTCAGATGGAAAAAGTGCAACAGATTCCTCCATCTACGCTAAGGTGTGTGGATGGAGGAATCTCCCGCTGGGCCAAGCTTCAGTATCTTGCTAGTCGGCCCCGCTGGCTCTCAAAATACCTGAACAATGCCTGCATCCAATCAGATTGTTCAGGTATATTGACAGCCAGTGGGGCCGAATAGCAAGATACTGAAGCCTGGCCCAGCGGGAGATTCCTCCATCCACACAGTTAAGTGTAGATGGAGGAACCTGACCAGAGAAAATCTGCAGATAATCTATAGGTGTATGACCAG